TGCACACAAACACACAGCATATACATGTGTGTATGTGTTACTGTCAACTTTTTTGAAGATCATCCTTTATCTAAAAATGATTTAAAACAGCTAATCAAATGATGACTAATATTAATTTATTGAGTAGTTCTTGTTTTTTTCCCCAGTCTTTATGTCCCATTTCTAAACCATTTAGGATTAAACTCTTTGGGTTTCTTCTTATCTGCTTATTTTTATCTGCTATTATGTTGAATAGGAAGAAGAAATCTTGAGACTAGTGCAGGTGAGTTGACACCACAAAGCAAATCCACCAACCTGGCATGTCTCTATCTTTTTATTTCTTTGTATTTTTCTTGTGTTTCTTTGTCTTATGCAAATTATTTTTACAGCCTTATGTTTTCATATTTAAATATAAAGCTTACTGTGCCATCCTAGAATAGATTACAACATTAATTTAGTTCTGTTTACAAAGATAGAAGTTTTTAGTTTTAAAAATCTTTTCTAATTCAGTAGATATGTTAATACAGTAGTGGCCATAATATAAGGGACGGAAACAACAAAGACATAAATATGTGTATTACTTAAAAAGTAATGCATGATTAGCAATGGAATTTTTACCGGATAAAGATTAGGATATAATGCATAAATATTATACAAAGTTACAAAAATTTACATAATAGCTTTTTTTTTTTATTTTTTAAATAAAGATTAAATGGAACAAAGGAAATAAGCTACTGGACAAAAGTTAAGGAATGATCTTGTTAATACTTGATTGTGAACAAAATATCAACAAAGTTTAATATTTGGTAAACATCCCCTTATTTTCAATGACTTCGCTGCATCGTTGACGACATGATCTAATTAATTTCTTGCAAAAATCGGCAGTAATTCCCTCCCATTCATCTTTCAATAACTCCCATAGGTGATCCTGGTTTTTCGGGTTTCTTTTCTGAGCCCTTTTTCCAATCATCTTCCAAACATTTTCTATTGGATTCAGGTCGGGGCTCTGGGTTGGCCACTTCATTAGGGCGATTCCTTATTCTTCAAATAAAGTCATAACCTTCTGAGCCTTGTGGCAAGGTGCATTGTCCTGCATGAAAATAGGAGATTCATAAAGATTATGGTGTAATCTTGGTACCACATGCTGCTGAAGAAGCCTTTTGTAAATCTTAGTATTGATATTACCATGTATGCGGATGATAGGGCCAACTCCTGCAGATGAAATCATTCCCCACACCATCACACTGCCGCCACCAAACTTAACGGTTTTCTTGACACATTGAGAAGACAGTCTTTCATCTGTTCTACGGCATACGTAAGTTTTGCCCTCAGAACCAAATATAGTAAAAATGGACTCGTCACTAAAATGAACTGTATCCCATTGTGCGTCAGTCCAAACAACATGTTCTCTCAAGATACCCAGGTGTGCCCTTTGGTTTCGCTTTTGAAATGAGAGGCTTGAAGTTGGAATACGGGCATGCAATCCTGCATTTTTAACCTGTGAGCAAACGTTTTCCTTGAGATCTTATTATCTGTCTCTTCATTAAATTTACGGGCAGTTGATGTAGCAGTTTCAAAATGTTTTTTTGTAGATATTCTAACAATTCTTCAATCTTCTCTTTGCGATGTTTTTGGAGATCTGCCGGTTTTTTGTTTTGCATCTAACGTTTTATCGGTTTTGTACCTGCTAATTAGATGATGAATAACACTTTTAGACCTATGAACAATATCAGAAATTTCTGAAATTGATTTTTTTCTTGATAGTTAGCGATAATGAGTTCTTTTTTTTTTTCAAAAGAGAGCATTTTGCGTGTAGAATTTGCCATATCGCTTAAAAATAAAGTCCTAATGATAAATGAATGTTTACTTATTGTTGAAAAGCTCCATAGAGTTTTTTAACAATGTAAATTAAAAGTTTATACAAATTATTAACATCATTCCTTAACTTTTGTCCAGTAGTTTGTTCCATTTAATCTTTATTTAAAAAAAAAAACTATTATGTAAATTTTTGTAACTCTGTATAATATTTATGCATTACACCCAATCCTTTATTCGGTAAAAATTTCATTGCTAATCATGCATTACTTTTTAAGTAATACACATATTTATGTCTTTGTTGTTTCTGTTCCTTATATTATGGTGCTACTGTATATGTGAAGAATTAATAATGAAATTTAATCCAGAGCTTTCAGCTTAGATATTTTGATTGATTTTGCAATATTCATTAGCAAGGTGATTGGTTTCCAGATGAAATATCTTTTTAACTAAATAAATATTTGCTTTGATCTCTGGAAACAAATTGCTGTAAAGATCTTGGACAAATGTTTTCCAAGCTATGTTATATATTAGTTTGAGTATTGGTGAAATGTGTGATATTCAATGTACTTTAATATCAGAATGTTTTTTGTATTAGATAATATTACATATTTTAAAATGAAGTTTTATCTCTTACATTGATTTACAAAAATGCTCTTAAATAATTAGGTCAGATTAGGGCTAAACTTTAATGTTTTGTTATATTTCATTTACTTTTTTGTATTTATAGTTTTCTGAAGCAATTAAAAATTCTGATTTGTTTTCTTTGAAATTATAAATTTACAGTTAAATAAACTGCAAATGCTATATTAGTCCTCTACAATGTTTACAGTAATCAAAAATTAATCTTGTTGTTTTATACATTACAATTAAGGTTTAAAAGTTTGATAGGAATTAAGCCTGCAACATTTTCTTTTGAATTTTTTTTATTCAAATGCAGTTATATATAAAAAGAGGCAGGTATAATGAAGAGCAGTTTCCCATGTTTTGCTGCTGAGTATGAATCACTATCCAAATAACTAATAATTAAAAGAAAAGAAAAGTGGGCCATCTATTTGAATTCTGTAATGATACCGAAAACCTAGGATGTATGATTTTGCTAAATATATTGATAATACAGAGTCCGATGGTTAAATTGTCGCCATTTAGAATTTTTTTAATTTTGTGCATGTGTGTTGCTTGTTTTTGATTTTGTCAACTGCACAGTATAGTAGGGTCAGTTGGACACTGAGAAAAAGAGCATCATGATGCAATTCACTTTGCCAGAAATTTGGAAATTTGCTTGGCATTCACACTGAAGGTTCCAATACAAACGTTTCAGAGTGGTTGTGTGTCAAGCTGAGGACAGTGCAGAGGACTTGGAAAGAATTGGATGAGTCTAATGGTGATTACGAAGGTACAGTAGCTTGGAAATCTCACTCTGATCATTCTGATAAGAAAAGAACTTTTTGGTGAGGGCCTCAGATTCAACACAGAGGCCTACATGAAGTGCCTTGAGGTTGTGCTCCCCTGAGTCAAGTGGGTGGCTGCTGAAAGACCCTATGTCTGCACCATGCCACAGGACTCTGCACCATACCACACAAGTAGGACCGCCCAGTCATGGCTGTCAGTCAATTTCTGCAATCACATCACCCCTTACATTTGGCTACAGTCTGCAACCTCCTTGATTATTATATGTGTGGTGCAGTTCAGCAAGAGACTAGCAAAACTCCTTGTAACACCAAAGATGAACTGAAGACATGGATTATGGCAGCATTCACCAACTTAAGCAGGAGACTGTCTAGATGAATTGCAGGAGATTCCAAAGTCTTCTGGAGGTGGTTGTTGAAGCCAGTGGTGATTTTATTGAATAATTTTACTCTTTAGTATTTCAAAATATTTTGTGGAATTTTGGTAAATATATCTGTTAAAATGAAATGTCAGTGTTATTTTCATTTTTGCATAATTAAGGCAACAATTTATCCATTGCATCCTGTATGTATAATATACATGAAGTGAAACGGAAAGTTAATCTGATGAAATCTTATATAAAATATTTTTTATTGATCACTCTTGGGATTTTTAAAAAATCCTATTCATATCAATATACAAAAGTAATTCAGTTAAATAATTTTGTATCTTGTATTAATAAAATATATCAAAGTGACAAGCTTTTTCAACTAAAAATATAGACTGCTTCCTAGGCCTTTAAAAGAATAATAAAAATCTCTCTCTTGATTCCATTTGTTTGTCACTCTGTTGTCACTGATGCATTTGAAAGATTTTTTGTTTGTTTTCTGGGTTGCCTCTTTATGTGTGTCTCTATTTAGGTACTTAGTCATAGACATGGATGAATATCAAAATTGTTGTTCTTAAGCTAAACATATATTAAATGCCTCACTATATTTGTTGCTAAATAGTTACCAAATATTTTGATTGAAAATCTTGATTTTGTGTTATTGATATAATAATGAATAATATTTATTGCTGAACTGAAATAAAAATGAATCCATTACATTTTATTTTGGTCTTTCCACACTATCACTGTATAGATTAAAAGTATATTCTCTAAATAACCAAACTTATACATGTGCATGTAGGCATGAATTGTTCTATACATGATGACTAAGTACAATTGACCAACCTTTTAACAATCGGGGGAAAAAGCTAGTCTAGTTTATAAACCTCAGAAAAAAAGAGTATTACTTTGGATTTTATTTCAAGAAGTAATATATCTAATATAAAATATATGCTTGGGTATGTAAAAAGAAAAAAAAAGAAATATATGGACATAAAGAATAGTCCTTATGGTTTTGGAGATGGTTCTGAAAATTGTAAAGAAGACTAAGTGAGTTCAAGTGAAATTGGATCTTGTTTAGATATTTAATATTTTTAACAATTGTTAGTGCAAATAACAAATTCTAAAACTAATATAGTGTAGGCATCGTTCAGTATGTTATATAGATCAATTAAACCAACAAAGTGTGGCATTTTAGAGTATTTATTGGGTGGGGCAATGGAAAGCTTAGATGTTAGATTTAAAAAAAAAAAAATATTAAAAATGATTATTTTCATCTCGGTTTAAAAATATTTTTATTTTTAAAATCTACTATTAATAAAAAAAGTGGCATTTGTTTATGGTTAAGTACATCTTATATGTTTGTCCACCTAAGAGTGGATGTAGTCATTCACTGTTGACATTCTCACTTTGATGGCTTTATGTTAAGGTCGTAGCAGTCGTCAGAGCCGAACAGGACGTGCCTGTAAGTGTCATTATTTTGAAGCACCGCTTTTTGTGATTCTTCTTTCTGCTGCACTAGCAAATATATCAAGCATCTTCCTCTTCTCTTTCAAAATTAAAATAAAGAGTATTATGTAATTAAAAGCTGTTTGGAATGCAATAATGTGCATTCTACAATTATGGATCATTATTGTGTAAGTTTAAAGCACATTTCCAAATCTCATCAGCACCAACTATTTTCTTATGCATGCTCAATAATTAAAAAAAAAAAAAAGCTAATGTATTTTTGTCTACTTAAATTTTTATACAATATATGATTACAAGTACCTTATTTGTCTCCTGGCATAAAAAACTCCATAACATCTAAATTTGTTGTATGATTTCTTATAAAGCTGATGTGTTAGTAAATTCTTGTCTAGGAAGAAGAATGCACAATATTTTTGTGCTGTCAAGTGTGAGTTTGGATAGAGGAAAATTTTGAAATACCTGGTTTTATGATGATATCTGGAGTGATTTACTGTATTCATTATTAAACGTGAAAATATATTACAAACTCCAAAATTATATTACAAAGATATTACAAACTCCTTTCTCTTATAGGGCACTTAGCATTTTATATATATATAAAAAAATATAGTTTTAAGGTATGCTATATTTGAGAAAGTGCTCAATATCAGGGATAGAGCATATGTAAATATAAAAGTGGACATTAAAGTCAACACCCAGTGGCAACAGTCTGTTTCATGCTTTTACAAAAGTCAAGCAATAATGATTGCATATATGGCAAGGTTTCTTTTAACAGAAACATCTCTTCATTTATGTTGAACTCTCAAATCAATTCACTTTTCTATATTCTGCTGTTACTCCTCCTTCACTCTGTGATAGGCGATTTCACTGGTCAATAATCTTTTTGGTAGCAACTTAGTCAATGTCTATTCTTGAGTACAAATACATAAGCTTCAACTTTTGGATATGATGGGTGAATCACTTGCTCGTGTAGATTTTACAAGTGATTGGTAACTGGTTGAAATTGGGCTAATTTGATAAGTTAATGTAAAAACCCTAGATAGCAAAACTGGATAATTTGGATTTTGCTATTATACCAAAACTACCCTAGGGTCTGTTTTTTTTTTTTTCTACTTAAAGTGGAATTTGGCATTTTGAATGAAAAACCTAGATAAAGTAAGATTTGAACATAGATGTTAACAAGAAGTAAACTAAATGTCTAGATGTTTATCTGTGATGAGAAACTTTGAAAAAAACATCAGCTTCAAGTAAATGATTATCTTGATGACACAACTAATTTTCTTGGTAGGGAATTTGTGAAATAAAATGATCATGTGACAAAACCCAGATGAAGATGGGATAGCTAAAACCTAGGCAGAGATTCGTTGTGGATAAAATGATGGATGGTATGGGCAAGTAATTCAGGAGAATAAAAAAAAAAAAAAAAAATTGTTTGAATACTGTGTGCAGATAGAAAAATGGATATTTGTGAAAATTATAAGTTCATATAATTTAAATTGATTGAGGAAATCTATCAATATGAATCCACCCAAGAGTAGTGATGAGGTTTTTCTACCAATGGACATATGAGAAGCAGTTGGTTTTGAAGAATCCATAACTGAGGAAATTTGGAAAATGATAACTTTGAGGTTTTTGGTAATAAATTAACCCTCTTCCAGCCATGCTGATTTTGACCCTTAGGCTCTTGGAGTACAGTTGTCAAGGATGATACTACAAGTTAACATCAACAATTTTCTTCACCACTCCTTGAATATACTGTTGAAGAAAACTTGGTCACCTGAATTTTTTCCCCAGAATTTTCCATTTGCAGAATGCTGATCTAGTGGATAAGTTGGAGACTTGGTTTTGGACTACAGTTCTGTGATTGAATTATTAAAAATGACTTTTCTGGGGCATTGTTGTTTTTGTAAAATGTGTGAATAATGCTAACACATATTAATTTACCAACCAGTTGTAGTTAGGTAGACTCACAGCAGTGTGAAACTAGAAAGAGTTAAACCAGTTATTGTAAATGTTAAAAAATAAAATATGTTATGGTTTCTGTATGCAAGGGTTGGTTGTCTGTTATGAAAGTTGTTTTCCTTTTATTTATTTTATAACTGACTCCCTTTGTGCCTGAAGACATTTTCGCAGCTTCGCTTAAGATTTCCTTGTATCAAAACTTAAACATAACTGCAATTTCTAATGCATCCATAAAGTCCTCTTCTATACCAGATATAAATGTTAGGATACATTTAAGACTTATTTACTTAAAGTCTCACTCTCTAAAATGATTTTTGTGCTATGTTAACAAATATGATCAGTCTTAGAAATAGCCAAACACATTCAGCAATTAAGTTGTATCAATATTCAAGGACATGATGAATATGTTGAAAGTTAACACTTCTATATTTAGCTATACAGTATTTTGAATGAATATACTTTTATTTACATTTTTTTCCTGTATTTGTAGCTTTCATAGAAGAAATGTTATTAAAACTTTTAAATGCACAAGGACTTTGTAGACAATGTAAATATGTTTAAATGACTCAAGTGTTTCATTCTTAAGTCTTTGAAGATGTCAACTGGAATAAATCAAAGTAACATTTTAAAATGGGAATAATGTTTTATGTTGAACAAAACAATGTTTCAATGAATGTCATGTTTATCAGATATTCCAAACAGCTTACTATTTCAAGTCTACCTTTTGATTTTTCCTTCTATTGCAAAAACAACTTTTTGCCATTTTTTTTTTTCTAAACAGTCTTTTTCTTATGAGAAAAATGACTAAAGTTTGCAGCCAATAGGTGCTTACTGCCATGTAAAATATTTTCTTTCAGAGCTCTTGTAGAAATGTTGTGAGAATCTTTTATTATTTAAACTTCAAAATTGTTTTAAAAATTATTTTTGGCTCAGTACTGCAGAACTGTCTGAAAATAATCCATGCAAATCTTGTTCCTGATTTTTTTTTTTTTTTTACACTTCTAAATGTTGACATTTATTAATATATATATATATATATATATATATATAATAGTCTATTCAGCTCAAAGAAAAATGTATTTTTTTTTTTCTGATTTGCATTTGAAAGGATTAATTTAAAATCATTAGATTTAGTGCAATATTACTTTGATGGTTCTCTTTTTCTAAGACAGTCCAAGAGAAGCTACACTTGTTACATTTTTTGCAAAGAAACTACTTAAAATTTAAGTCAGATTGATAAGATTGTTCTGCACAATTCATCACTTGTACAGAAAAAATGAAAGAATGAATTTATGTAGCATGTTAAATTATTTTTATTGACCAAAAGTATAAAATGTCTGAAGGACATTTTTTTTAATATTTTGCCATACTCATAATGCTCATATTTTTAGCTAAAAATAAAATTTTAAGGTTAAATTTTAGAGAAATTTTAAAGAACACCTGAATATTTATAAAAGTTGACAGAACTTGTTTATTTTTAGTGTTTCTACTGAAATTATTTGAGAATATTAAAAATTTCAAGTCCTATCCAGAAAATAACAATTGTTTTGTTGGTAATGGATCTCAGCAGGAAAAAATCTGTCATTCATAATTTTAATTTACTAAAATCTTACATGTTCTTTTTATTCCTTATTCTCATTCTTTTTTTTTTTTTTTTATTTTCAATCATATTTTTCTAATTTTTTTTAGTTTCTCTTTCTATTGTTTTTTTTCTTTCTTCATATTTTTTTGATTTCCTCTTCATTAAATTTATTGCCTTTTTTCTTAAATCTTATTTAGAAATTTTTTATCTGCATTTTTCTTGGGTTTACTTGTTTTTTTTTATGTTGCCTCAATTCTAACAAAATCTCTAAGCATTCTTCACTGTAATTTTTTAGTTTTCTTTTTTCTAAGATACACACTTGAAAATATGTGCACTTAATATCGTGTTGTTGTGCAGTGAAATATTAACAAATTTCATAACTCCTTCTTCATTGAAGGAGTTATGAAACTAACACTAAAGATTTTATTTATGCATTGTGTGGCTACATAAAATGGTTTTCTTTACAATTTTATTTTTCTTGGAATTTTCCCATCAACACACTTCCTGATTAGTGTATTAAATGATTCATTCATAAAAAATAAACATTGTCATTGACATAATGCTACTATGAAACCTTTTTATAATGTAAATTAATGTCATTATATGATAAAATTACAGACACAATTCTGAGTTTCCTTCCAGAGCAAATAAGCATAAATATATTCTGCACATGTTTTAAAAATGCATTTATACTTAAATCTGTAAATGATTAGCTTTTGTAGATATTACATTTTTGCTTTCATCCTCATTTCTAAAACTATATTCATGCAATCTGAAATTATTGGATAAGATCAGAGAGAAAATTAATTTGTAACTAGTAAAATTATGCATTACTGTAATTATTAAAAAAATATTGAAGTATTTCACTTAATTTACTCTTTATTATTTGTTTATTTTTGTGGGAGTTGATAATTGTGAGTAAGTGACTATTTGAGAATTACATATTTTGAGTAAAACATTTCCTGTTGTGGATAATGATAGCTGATTCTAAACTCTTTATAAATAGTGTAAACAAAATTTTTGTCTTATCTAATAGGCTACAATCATAAAATATGCATGCTTAGTCCTCTCCTTGTTTATAAATAACATTGATTAAAAAATGTTGCTTGCAGTATCAATTTTATGTACTTTGTAAATTTATATTCTAATGTCTTTGCTTTCTGACTCCATCTGATTGATTGAATCATCTTGACTCTTTAACTACTAGTTTCCATCTTTGGCTGTCTTTTAAACTCTTCATCTACTGACATTAATTGAAAGATCTTTAAATTCATTCTCTCTCAATGTCTCTTATTTTCACATTTTTGTCTTTATGTATGTGTTCATGTGTGTGTAATCATGAATGCTGTAAGTGAACACATTTTCTGTTTCTTAAAATTTTAATCTGTTTATTTTCAGGTATTGTTTTTGCTGTTGTAATAATATACTAACTCTTTTTAAAGATATTATAGAGGTCTAAATTTTGAAATGATACTTTTTTTATTTTGGTCATGTTTTACAGATTTTTTCCTCTTTGACTGTGTAACTTGATATTGAGAATAATATCACTGAGGATAAAGGTTATAAAGTCATGGTTCCCTCCAATGAATCAAAAACACAGTCAATTTCATTATGAACAGCTCAAATTGCATTTTATAACTTGGAGGCCAGTTTTTCAAATTTTACTTTTGTTCTTCAGTATACAACATCAGCAGCAGTTTTCTATTGTCTACTGCCAATAATTTAATTTCTTCCTTTTTGAAATATTTCAAAGAGAATTTAGAAGTCACCAAGGAATAGAATATTTAACCTTTGCTTACAGAAAAATATTAGTTCCATTTTTGTATAATATAATTATTGTGCTCTGTTCTTTAAATGAATAAAAATCAATTTAATTTCACTTGGAGAGAAATTTAATGTATTGACTAACTGCTTCTGACAGCAGTTTGAAGAAAATTAAAAAATGGTTCACAAGGCCACTAATGTTTTTTGTTTGTGTTTTGGCTATCAATGAAAAAAAAAAAAAAAAAAAAGAAACAATTTCTTTCAGCTTAGTAAAATTTGAAACTTGGTTTTAATTTTTAGTTTCACTGAATGATTAAGAATTGGAAAAACAAACTAAATCATTTTATAATTTTAACAATTATCTAATGATTATCTTTTGTAACTGGAAGGGTAATCAAATTTTAATTGGCTCTCTGATAAATTGTATTTTTTGCCTTTTGAGTTCTTAAAGTTTTTCTAATAACTCACTTTTAAAGATTGTTTTCAAACTTGTAATATGTTACATGTATATTAACAGAACAAAAACACTCTTGCAAAAGTTCTATCCATTCATTTTTCAATGTCTTATGATCTACTTAAGCTGCCCACAGGTTTTTGTCCAGTCGAATGGGATTTGGTGAGTAAAGTAGACCATGGACTTTGCCTTGTGTAAAGATACCACCATATTGCTCTCCTTTACTACTTCTATGTGCTCCGGTGTAAGTCTGCATTCTTTCAATGTGCTGCACTCCAGGTCTATTTCCATTCCTTTTCCTGTGCTGATATCCTCTGCAAAAATGTGCCTCTTATTTTAGCAGAGCTTGTCTTTTTTATTGTGCATATTTGAATTTTTCATTTTGAATGGAAATTGGTTAGATCAAAGAAGGAAAACATTTTAAAAAAATGTCAGTGCTGTATATAATATCTATATTAATGATAAGCTTTTGATAAATTAACTTTTCTTGAAACTGTTTCAACTTATTCAGCCTACTTGAATAATCTTTGTCAATTGGTAAGAAACACTTAAACCAAGTATCTAGTGCATCAGCATTATAGATGGCAGTTTGGGAATTGAAGGTTTAAGCTATATAATAAATATGATGAAATAGACCCAAATTGTTTTTCCTTCAAAAAAGTCCCTGAAAAATATGAAGCATCTCATATGTTTCAATAAGTTGGGATTTGCTGTAAAGTAAAGACTCACAATCAGTTGATGAAAAAAAACAGTTGCTTCCTGAACAAAATTTTGTCAATTTATTTTGCTGCTTAAGCATGAGAATAATTAAAGAAAAATTATTTGAACAGTGTAAAGTGTTCAGTACACAAAATATGTGATTTATATTTGAGAAGAAATAATGCTGAGAGAAACTACTTTTTTTTTCTTATATAAATTTTTTTGCACTTACTTGATTAATCTATATATCCTTTTTATTTATTCATTTTTACACTTAACTTTTCTTTTTAGTATTTGATGTTTTTCTCCATTAAAAGAGAAAACAATTTATTAAGATGAATGTATATAGAAAGTGCTTGAATTGTTAAACCATCCACAGTAAATTTGCATCTAGGTTCTTACAAAATTTCATCTTTCTTGGCAAATTTTCTATTATCATGATGTTGAGATACTTAATAATAAGTGATTAAAAACAAAAAGAAACTCAATGAAATCATGAGATTCACAAAATAACCCCCCAACAAAAAAAAAAGAGAAAAGTTTAAAATTTCAGTGTCCCTTCTCCTGTGTGCATGTGAAGTTACATCAACAGAAACAGCAATTTGATCTGAATTCCTAAAGGATGAAATTTTTTCATTAATTTTCCTAATACATAGTTTTGTATTTATTTTAAATTTTCTGCCAAAAAAGGATATTGTATGTTAAACATTCTACATTTTCTTTCTTTTAGTATGGATATATAGATATGTGTGTATTTTTACATATACATTTGAATGTTTATGTAAATTACAAATATTAAGTTCCTATCAAGTTTTCTATGAGAATCTTGGCAGTCTGTCATAAATGCTTTATTATAATCTACTTGCTTATAATTATCATTGCCAACTGAAATTCACTCTGTAAAGATTTTAATATTTTTGTGCTATCCTTTTGCTATATTAAACTGGATTGTCAAAAAGAGAGACAGCTATCTCATGTGTAAATCCTCCTTTTTGTCTGAATAATTGTATATATAAGGGTTATCATTGAGTTGTGTTTGTTGAGTGTGGCTACAAGAAATTTAGTTTGGTTTGCAACATGTTTCATACATGCTGAATGGGGTACAATTCTGATGAGCAAGGGGACAAGTGGTTTAACTGAAAGTCACCCAATTGTCCCCTGTGCACAGTGGGTGGGGCTGCATTATCTGAGCAAACTATTTCCTCAAGTAGTATATATGTCTACCAAGAAGGTATATATATATATATAATACCACCCTACATGTTTTCAAAAATGATACAGAATGAAAGTAAAATGCAAGACAGGCTGAAATTTTATGAGTAAATTACTAAAATTGAATGCACTTCAAATGAGCAGATTCTTGTAAAGAAAATTCTTAATATAAAAATAGAACAACAATAGTTAAGGAAAACTTCAAAAGACTCATCTTAGGACTGACTACAAATTTCACAGATATGCCACTCGTCAAGGCCAGATAAATCCATTGAATTCATTAGTAGATAGCATATTTATATATGCTACATCATGAATTCTAGCCAGTATTTTTCTGACTCTGATGAGTGGTGTATTTGCAAAACTTGAAGTCAGTCTTAAGATAAGTCTTTGAACTTAACTTTTTCCTTAAGTAGCAATTAGAATATGTGCTAATGATAGTAGAATCTGATGCTGTAATCACTTATACATTGTTTACCTTGTGATGTCAGTATTTGTAGCAGGCCTAATTAGGGGTCAGGATATGTTCAAGTTTGAGCTACAAGTGGGTAGTATTTTCTTGTTTCCTGGTTTATCAGTCATTTTTGTCTTTTTCTGATTGCTTTTATTCTTTATAAAATACAGCTTTGTTCAAATGTACATTGATTTAGAATATCCAGGACAGATTATGAAAGATGTATATCTATATATTAGTTATCCTGACACCTTTATATTTCATTAAATAATGGAGGTAGCAGTATAAGTATTACCAGAAATAACTGTGAACACCACAGCTGGCTATTGCTGAAGAGTAGTGAATTTACTCAAGTGTTCTATTGGTTTTGTTCTGATATGTGAAGATATTAGAATATTGTGAAAAATATGAAAATTGGTTGTTTTCATTGTGGAATAAAAATAGTCAAATTTTATCAATTTTTGCTTTTCTATTTCCCAACATGCAAACGTTTTTCATGCCTCATGCTCATTGCTTCAGTACATTTATATGCTTGTAAAACAATCTTATTTGGTATTTTTGTTTGTAAAACTATACAAAAAGTAAGTTCATTTTTGCTATTTTTTGTTTTGCTTTCTTAGTCAGTTTATGGTAACAAATTTCACTAATTTAGCATAAAAGTTGATCCTTGAATCTTTTGTCCCATTGCTTTATGACTAAACTGTATCTGCAATGGTAAAATACTGTGCAAGTTAGACAATTTTGACTGTGTAGCTAGCAAGTCTGATGTTTTTAGTAAAGTAATTAACACCTTATTGCCATCTTAGTAATTTGTCAATGACTAAAACCTTCAGTAGCAAAATAGAGTACAACTCTTTATTTCACTGAACAGCATTACTCTTTCAAGAAACAACACAAAGTGAACAGATGGCTTGAGGCTTCAGAGGCTTTTATTTCAGATCAAAGCATAGTAACTGTTTATGCTGATTTTATTAAAATGAAATAACCACTAAAAAGAGTAAATGTGCTGAATTAAGTTTTTGTCATTTAATACAATGGAGTATCATAAATAGTTGAAAGTTTATTTTTACTTTATTTATGATGTGCTTTGCAATTTTTCCCCGCTTTTTTTGTTGTATACAAATTCTGTGTTGTTTCATCTATTTCTTGTTGGTGTCATCAGTGTTGATGTTGGTTGTTTATTGTAAACTTTTATTTCATATTATACTTATGTAGATTTCTTGGAGTAGAAGAGTCAAACATGTTCTCTACACCATGTAATCTCGAGCATAATAAAATGAAAGTAATTTTGGGAAACATAGTTGATCATAACTGGTCTCATGTCAAGGTTAACGATGGATGTAGTAGCTATGCATAAGCAAGTAAAGAATTTATAAGAATGAATTGCTTATTAACTCTTCTTTTCTACCATTGTAGCATGCTTGTGAAAAGATCATGGTCAAGATAACTAGTGATATGGGGAGAGTAGGATTCATATTTTTTCCAAGGGCATTAGTGATGTATTTTCAACTGAAAATTGGTTGGCTGATTTTGTTCCCTGACTTGATATCTATTTCACCACATTACATTCTCCACATTCTGAGAAACACATAGAAATATTGTCTATTTAACCTTTCAATGAACAGAAGATATTATTAATAAACATAGAAATAATAAATTGGACTCTACTTCTGTGTTCATTAAATGTTAATGGTGCTTGAAGTTACTTTCATTTTTGTTCTATGCTTCATTAAATTTACTTTAAACATATTGGATTTGCAAATTGTTGGTAAAAAGATGTATATTAGTGTACAGTTTTGTTCCAGTTAAAATTATTACAAGTCCTTTGAGTAATTATGCTACATTTCAATACAAGTTTATTTTAAATGCCCCTTTACTGTTTCAATTTAAAACTATTAATATTTGGTGATACCTGTTTGTGTGTGCGTATACATACATACACACATTTTTTTTTTTTTTTTTTTTTTTCAATTATATACATTTTTATATGATTGTGTGATCAAAATTCACAGAGCTGATTATGAATTAGGTGGTTAAATTTTTGAGTATGCTAGTCTGTGTTTAAAAGAAAAAGGGTAGAGAATTGTTTTTTATAAAAGCCATAAGCTTTGTTTAACTAAGAGATCTTGATTTTGTTGTGACAATATCTCCTTATTAAGCAACTGCAGAACTCATTCCAGAAACTGGTCTGTATTATTACCATTATCACATTTTTTCACATCAGTCTAGCATCAAAAAATATCAATTCTTCCTTAGGTTTACAATGCTTTAAATTTGCCATTAATCTGGAATGTTCTGACTTAGAAATAGCTTGAGATTAAGATCTCATGCTATTTTTAAGTCTTTTTTTTTTTTTTTTTCAACATTATTCAAGTCAAGCAAAATATATCTGAAATCAAAGAGGCTTAAAAAAAGACTGTAAGAACTTTTCTCTTTGGATTTTCTTCATAAAAATAAAACAAGAAAAGAATATTATAACATCTTTATTTCTTTAATGTTTTACAATTTAAATTAATTTATTTCTGTCCTATCATGTTCACTTTTCTGAATTTAATAATTGATTATTATTTGCATATTTTTCTCAGCTCAACTCAGGAACAACTGTAAGCAATAACATAGAATCAATGTGCATAATTTGGCAGATTTTTTTTTATGTAATAACAGTGCTTCAAAATAATTTTATTAAAATAGACTGATAACAACAAACATGAAAATGATAGCCTGAGTGTAAATACCTCATGCCAGAAATTTAAAAAAAATCGGACTGATATATTTTAAATTATAAAGTGATAATGTC